TGTATATTAACATTAATGTTAATGTACTCGTATTGCCACGACCTGGCAGATAGCCTTCGATATTCATTCTTTCAAAGGTTCGCAATATAATATTTGTATTTTGCAATACTGATGATACAAGGTGGAGACACACCACTTCGATCCGAGGCGTACAGTCTTGTGCTTAGAAACGCCTGACATGGTACTCGACTTGTGTAGACTGTTGTAAGCTCCCGCACATAGCGAGACGATAGGATGGAGCGCAGAGACATCGGGAAAGCAACGTTGGGGTACAAATCGGGCATCTATCACGTTTCTTGCCGTACCCTCGACTGTTTATTATAAATTGGCTAGGTAAATAAAAATAAACACACTAACACGCGAGAGCACGACTCTCACACACAGAGCCCAACTTGAAAACATGAATCTAAATATTCTTAATTCCCTCTTAAAATATGTATCGATTTGTGTGTAGTAAAAACAATCGAACCCATTATCCAATCTATTCATAATTAATTTCTATCTATTTAAAGGTTTGACTTATTAGTCCATGCTTACCATAGAGAATTTCTGGTAGTGTCCACTTATATATTGTACTAAGGACAGTTTTCTGATACTTCATTGGACAATTTGGTAATTTCATGCCGATTATCAATCGCGAAAAAAACACGTATACTTCTCACTCTCTCTCTGGTCAGAGTCTGTTGTGTGCACTCTTCAGTCAGGCGTCAGCCACACTACCCTACCCAGTGCCCGCCCGCACAGCCTGAAACAGGAGTAGGAAATTGGGAGAGTCCCTGTTTCAAAATATATAAATAGCCTCTATCTTGTGTGATATTTGGCATATATTCACTGAATTCGTCATTTTAAATGTGCAATACAATCGAGATGGACAAGTTTCCGGATGAGAGCTCGTTGTTTCTTACAAAACGACGTCGGAAACGGAGAACAATCAAGATCAATACTGTAATGGGTGAAGCCTTTGACCTCAAAGTGAGAGACTCAGATAGCATCTACAACGTCAAAGAACGTTTAGCCTCAGTCATAGACATCCCTGCTCACCTGCAGTCTTTAGTATACAACGGTAAGGAATTAAAAGACGACCAAGTACGTGTAGATACCCTTGGTATATCCGATGGCTCCTCACTGACGCTTGTACAGAAAATACAGACCGGCTTGATAGACAGTATTTCATTGGATGTACCCTATCGTCAGTCGTTCAAAAGTGAGGCGCAGCAGATGGAACTCCACGGGAAGGCCATCTTGGAGAAACTGTCTGAGGTGCCTGAACTGAAACACATGCTCTCCGATCAGGCTACTATATTCGAGGTATTTCCAGATGAAAACGGATTTCAGGTGTTGGTGAGAACTACGGAGGCGTCTACGTCTGGGTTGTCGACTGCAGCATCGTCGTCGGAAGTCGAAAATAGAACAGATCTTAATTTAGATCTGAGCGAAGATTCCGGTCCTGGAGACACGATAGATAGTGGAGAAATAACGGAGGCTGATGCATTTAAGCAAGAGTTATTAAGGGCGAGAAAGGCTGCGTTCAGTTCACGAGGTAATATCAGTAGTGGAACTGAGCTTCTATCGGACCGCTTATTCAACGATCCCGATATAGATTTGACTGTGGTGAGAAAGGCGTTTATGGAGGACATGGACGAGATAGGAAAGCTAAAAAACAAGAGGAAAGAGAATGAGAAAGATGTGGCTAAATCAACAGAGGATACAAACACCCGCGATAAAATGGCCGAATTACGGAAGAAAATGGCGCAACGGAAGAAGCGGAAGGATGTGGAATCCTGTTCCAGTGATATTGAGACTGTAAAGTCGAATCAGAATGACAAAAAGGTGAGATATAGTAGTGACTTGAAAGCTCTTGAGAAGATCCGGAAGCTTGAAGCCGGTTGCGAAGCTTTACCAGTACAGGATAAGGAGACTACAATAGATGCAGAGCTGCCCGTTGCTGATGTCCGAGAGAACATTACCAGTGAGGACGATACCAGTGCTAAAATTCAGAAGTCGAATAATATATCGAATAGCTCCACTAATCGATGTTTCCGTTGTGCAACTAAGCTTCCTTTGGTACGACACGCTTGTAAATGTGAGATGTTTTTCTGCTCGCTGCACAAACAAGATCATGAGTGTTCGCACTCTTATACCTAGTCAATATAAGCTTGTATTAGAATAAAGTGGAATATCTATCGTTCTGCTAAGAATGTTTCGGCACGAAAATTGAACCTGTACGTTCAACTGTGGTAATTCATTGAATACAACGGCCTAGACCTAGGATCGATTTATACTTAAACGTCGCACTATGGGGTTTTAATATTGTATGTTGTCTATAGCCAACTAACATTCGATACCTATGGTCAAAGGTGTTTCAAATCATGTTTTATTGTTGCCGTTCTACTATTCTATTTCTTGTCGCATTCTCCTTCAAATCAGCGTTCCGTCGACCATAAAAATCAGGTTTGCAAATAGCGTTTTCGTGTCAAGCAGATCCTGAGTGTATACTAACGTTTAAGCACCAGTGGTAGTCTTTGGTATGTACATGCAGGTGTATGATGTAAGTTGGTAACGTTTGAAATTCGTTGACTAGAGACCGACAATTAGCAAATTCCGCAACTTCCGTTTTAAACGGTGTCTCGACCCAGTATAAAGCTATACATTATATAGGGAATACCTCTGCAAATAATTTATCCTTCCCTAGTAATTGGCTAGCGAGTATGGCTGCATTTAGTTCCCTCGCCACCATTTGTAGCTGTGCAATAATCAACAAAGCTTGCTAAAGTACAGTACGCGCGTAAGTTCGAGATGTTCTGCTGCCCGCTGCACCACCAAATGGGTTTTGGCATTCCTATACTTGGTCAAATCTTGGACTGAAATAAAGTGAAGCATCTAACGTTCTGTTAAAAATTTACGACACGAAAGTAGAACTTCTCCTTTCAACTGCGGAAATTTATTACCAGACAATGGCTAACCCTCGGATCGATGTATACATACAAGTCGCATTGTGGGGTGCTAATATTGTTGGTCAAAACTATTGTCAAATTAAATTCGTTACGCATGGTCAGAGGTAACTTCAAATCATACTTTATATTTGCCTTTCTATTATATTTTTCATGTCTCGTTCTCCTTCAAAACCAACGTTCCGTCGACAGCATTAATCAGGTGTGGAAATATCGTTTTCTTGCCGAGCAGATCCTGAGCGTGTACCAACATTTTGAGTACCAGCGGTAGCCTTGGATCTGTACATGCAAGTGTATAATTTAAGTTGGTTTTGTTTAAAATTAAATGATAAAGGCCGAGAATTGGCAAATTTTGCAACGTATTCTCAACTTCCATTAAGGTGTCTCAGCCCAGTATAAAGCTGATATATGTTTTAGAAAATATATCTGCAAACAACTTACCCTTCTCTAGGCACTGGCTAGCGAGTATGGCAGCATTTAGTTCACTCGCCATCATTTGTCGCTGTGTAAAAACAATGAGTATGTATGTATCGAACGATAGTGTAATGTACATTGTCAGCTGGCTCTGCAAGTGTGGACCTGTGACAGGGTTCTAAATCAGGTGACGTTAACAACATGAGTCGGATCGCGAACGAAGCGGTTTGACAATATTAAAGAGAAAAAAAGCACCATTCAGGAGATCAATAGCCTCGGATCGGTAGAACGACCGGCTAGCACGCGTATTTCCTAACGGGTGCAGATTCTAGTACCATACAGTGTATATCCGCGTACGACGATAGACGAGCAGGACACCGCGGCATATAGTATGGCGCCTACTTTGATATCAGTATGCCGTTTACACTGCCAGCAGTATGTCGATTCTATTAGTAGCAGAACGTCGGTTATTTAGTTAATAGTATGCTGTGCTTACCTGAGTTGGAGATAGCAAATAGCCCATCGGTGACGACTCTGCATTCTCAAAAGCGATCAAGGACATAGTGCGTTCCAGTTCCTCCAGCAGATTGGGCTGTGACGAGAAAGTAGGATATATGCCTATAAGCTCAACGCACCTTAACCTTTAAGAAGTGCTTAATTCGAAACCATATAGGAGATAGAATTACGTAGAATCTCCCATTTCCAGTCAGGTGTATGTCCCACAAAAACATAATGTGCGTAGCGTCCCGCAACAGCTCTAAATATTTTCTACAAAACATAAAACCATGAAGAAAATCGTATGAGTATGTAGCAACTGCAGCCATCTCTATCACATACGCTTTCTTCGCTCTTCGCCGCTAGCTCCTCACGCGCAAAATCGATGGCGTCGTCAATGCGGTTTTCACGGATGAGCTCTATCAAATGTTGTTGTTGTAAATGAAAGTATAACAACGTATTTGTGTCCAGAATCTGCGGAAGCAGGATAGTACACAAAGACTTGTTAGTTATACATAATACGTCACGCACGGGGAAACTACAATGGTGAAGACGCGATGTCAAACTGTCTTGAAAAATAAGATACGAGCTGGCTGTGCTAAGAGAAGACACATTGAAAAAAAACAAGGCGATTCTTATGAGGTGGTGTGTATCCAGAGATGTTTTCACGATTCAACTATAAGCTCAAGAAGAACGTATGCATCACCTCTGGATTGAGATCGTTGACTAGACCTTTCGCTGTAGTGATGTCGCCACTCTGCACCGCATTTCTTATCTTCATACGATCAGCGATTGAAGACAGGTCTAGTTCGGGATCGACACCTGATTCGTCTCGGAAGCTCTCAGCTGCATCCTTATAACCTGAAACGCGAGCAGTGATGCAATTTGATCGCCAGAATAAAAGCGATGCAATGTCTTATTAAATAATTCACATGCCTCGAGTCGTATGTTCCCGATTTAAATCACGTTGATGTTTACCGGTACCTTACAATATACACAGTTTGCATGTTGAAAACGCTGCAAAAACAAGCATATACAAGAACATAGAGCTGCCCGAACGACCACAATAACAGAGACACGACGATCATTAGATGAATTTACCAGCACATAAAGATTGAAAAATATTTGTAACCGTAAATATTTGCAAAAATGCGTTTGTATCAAAATGCATATATTCGCTTACGGATGTACTTATGCGTGTTTATATATCGAATGAGGTATCATATATACATACATACAT